CCGCACACTGCAGATCTTGGCGGGGTTGTTTTACCAGAGCCTTGTTCTCTGTGTACAGGCAGTGCATCAGCAGGGGATATCTTGAGATCCTCTCAGCATAGCACTCCAAAGAAGATAAACTGTCCAGCCTGCAGTGGGACCAGAAGCACTCCAACTTCTAAAACTAGGGGCAAAGCAGCAAATGGTGAGTAACTAGTGTGATACATTTGAGGTCCCTGTTTATTAAAGAGTAGCCGTGCCTGGGAGTCCCCTGGTAAGTAGTTCCCATAGGAGAGAGACAAACTGGCCAAAGCCACACTGAGAAACAGTTCATACCTATGCTGTTCCCAGCAGTCATCACTGTAGGGAATGTTACTGGAGTACTGGCTGCAGGGGACTTCACGGCCCCTTGAGTCCAAGCTCCTGCCAACAGGAGTCATGGACAGGAAAGATGTAGGACTGCTGACTCTGAGAACTTCCCAGCTACTCCTATCTCACCTCTCTCAGCAGGAGTGGCTGTAAGTAGTAGTGGGGGAGCCCCAGCTATGATCCTTCCTCTGTGTGGCAGAACTTAGTGGCCTTCCCCTACGTGCTGGATCATGGTCTGAGTTAACTTATACCTACTACAGTTTCAGGCCTCAATACAGGGTCTCCAGCCCAGTGCACACAGGCCTGATTCATCACAGAGAGATTATATCAACATGTTCATGTAGGCAGGTAACATCCTCTTCCTCTGTCCTTGGGCTACAATCAGCTCTGCTGTGAGAGCCCCTGACAGCAGTGGAGTAGCACCAGAGACAGTTAGTCCCTTTGGCTTCCTCCCCATATGGCAGAAATTACAGGGTGGCTCTTACCTGGTCTCATTCTTCTCCACAGTAGCAGAACATGGCACAGAGAGCGCTTCTTCCCAGCGCTCTGGCCCCAGTCGCAAAGCCGAGAAGTGGCAGCAGCAGCCGCCCGGACTTTGGTACCTGCCGACCCCACCTTCTGCCACAGCCGTCAACTACATTCCAGCAGTTCCTCTGGTGCACTATGCACCACCCCTTGTGTAAGAGCTGCCCCTTCTCTTTTCCTGGCATCACTCTGGGGAGGGGATATGAAGCTTTTCCTTCTGTAACTATGGGAGGCAACCTAGAAGCCACAACCAGGAGGGTTGGCCCAGTGGTTAGGGTACCAGCTTGAGCATGGGAGAATGGTTTGAGTTCCCTGTTTGGTGTTCTGACCTTGGGTGAGTCACTGTCTCCTTGTGCTTCACTTCCCCTCTGTAAGACCAATGCTCCTGCTTCTCAAGGGATGTTGTAATGCATTAAAAAATTGTGGCACATGTTTGCTATAGTAATAGTGGCTGTATATGTCCCTCAGATAGAATCAGAACCCAAACTCCCTGTCCTCAGCAGGACTTTACGTAGACATGTCCTTGTGCCTCCAATCCGTGAGAGTGGGGGTCCTTCCTGCATAAGCACTGTGCAAAGTCAACTCACAGAACACCTTGCACCGTGGCCAGAATATGGGCTGCCTTCTGCCAGGAGACCACGTGACAGCTGGCAGCTGCAGTGTGTAGGTCGTGGATCTGTGCGTGGGCATAACCATTGTCCCCGCTGGATAGACACTAATGTGTGTGCAGGAGCATGCAGATATCTCCTGCAAAGCAACAAAGGGCACATTCTAATTAGTTGTGCTCCTATAGCATCTAGAAGACCCCATGGAGGTCAGGGTCTCAGTGTGTCAGGCACTGTACAAATGCACAGACAAAACAGTCCCAGCTTCAAGAAGCAAAAGTCTACATAGACAGGACCCAGAAGGGAAGACAAAGGGAGAAAAGATATAAACAGAAAGTGAGAAATGCAGCAATTTCCCCAAGGTCACACAAGGAGCCTGTGTCAAAGTCAGGTGTTGAATCTGAATCCTAGACACTGCCTTAACCACAAGACTAACTTTCTTCCCCAGCTTCCAGTGCCTTAGTAATGAATGGAGTTTTTGCACTTCCTTTGGCGGGAGAGGCTGTGAGGGTCCCATGGTCATGGAAGTGTGTCTCAATGTTAGCGCACAGGCGCGCACAGCACCAGGGATTCAGTCTGGTAGGTGCCTGCCAGCAGCTTTGCCAAACCTCCCATGCCCTGTACAGGGATAGAATTACTAGGAACAGGTCAGAGTGGCTGAAACATCAGGACGTGCTGCCCAGGCTGATGCATAAGAAAATACACACCTCTACAATGTGGCTGCTTGGAAACACCATGTTTTGTCTTTGCTTTTTCCAGCTACTATTCTCCAGCAGCATCTACCTCAGTCCCCACCCCAGCTGGCCTTCCTCTCCATTACCCCAGTGGGTACAGGGTGCCAGAGCTGAAGCCCTGGACTGACTGGCAGCAGGCCCATAGGCACCACCGCTCCTTGACACTTGATCTTGACGACCTTGAGGACCTCAACTGGTCTTTGAACAAAGCCGTGGAGGCTGCCAAGAGTGTGAAGCTCACCACCAAGCAGATGAGCAGGTCGCTGACCTCTGAACTGAGCAAGGCCAAGGGCCTGAGGGGATCCTGCCTTTTCTGACGGGACCTGGGAGTTGGCTTCCTTGGCACGTGGAGGAAGCAGTCTGATTCAGCAGACCAGGCTTGGTAAAACACCTGGAGATGAGACCCCGAGAACTGTCTTGGGAACTGATTTGCCAAAGAATAACATGCCTCTTCTTAGGCTTCCAACGCCGCATTATGGCGTTGGGTGTGTGGGAGGAGGGCCTCCATTTCACTTCCTGAGGACCCCATGCTTGGAGCCTCCTTGCTGGATCCCCAGGAGCTGTGTCTGAAGCCCTGTCTACACAGTCATCTCTGCCCATCTCTGAAACCATTCTCCCATATTACAGTTGCCTTAATTAGCAACCTTCTGATTGCTCTGGGCTGCAGGAGGCTCCAGGGTGGCAGAGGGGGTGCCCATTGCACTGAAGGGGCAGCTAGGGTTCAGTCCAGCTCCTCTGTACTTGGTCAGTAGCTTTTAGTTTCTGTGGATTTTTTTCTAAAGAATTATTTGAGATGAAGGCAAGTGGTGACACTCCTTGGGTACTAGACTAGGAGCCTTCCCAGCTTCCCAAGGGGCTAAGACCCGCACTTTAGAACTCCCCGGTTTTGTCTCGAGAGAACCTTCTATTTTCTGTAACATTTTAGCACCTATCCTCCTTAAGAAGGGAGCTTCTCCTCATTGCCTGTCTTGGGATACTGGTATTAAGCCCATGGCTTTCTCACTGCACTGTGAGATCCCACCCAGGAGCCCCTGCATCATTCCCACCTAGGCCTTAACCCATCATGTTGCTCAAATCTGTCCACTTCCACATGGAGATATCCCAATATACAGCATGTGACAGGGCTGCTGAAAGCAGCCCTGGTGGTCCAAACCCTGTTTACAAGCTGAGCTCTTCCTAGAGCAAGTCTTATTTTGTGCAGGCCCTATTGCAATAAGAGCTGACGGCCTGTTTGCAGCAAAGTTTACCTCGGAGAGTGCTTGTGATGTCTTAGAGGTCCATATATGTGTGTGTGGGTGTGTGTGTGTGTGTGTGTGTGTGTGTGTGTTAAAGGTTGGAATGGAGGTGAGGTGAGAACTGAAAGAGCTTTGTTATCCAGAACTCAGCCTAGCTGGGGATTCGGTATCATGGTTTGCTTCTCCTCTTTGTCCCTTCTCCCCTCTCCCACCCAAATATCCAGACAGTTCCCCCCCGCTGCCCTCCAACCCCCAGTGCAATTTACAACTTGTGCGATGAAGGGAAAAAATGTAGGACACTCCTGTCAGTCTAACCCCCTAGGCACCATCCTCACTAGACCAGTGGTTAATCCAGCCTTGTTTAACACTTTCCAAAGATGCAGTTGCATGCCCGTTAACTGTTTGAGTGCCTTAGGATGTGCAGTGCACCGCTGGGAAAGGATCAGGTAGCGGAAAGAGGCTTAAATGAACGAGCACATCAGATAATGCAGTCAAAATAATTTGTAGCAGTTTTTTAAATGATTTCATTCACACCTGGTGTTTTGTAGGGGAGGAGGAAATGTGGAGGGTCAACTGCATTTTCTGTTCCCAATGCCTGATTCTGGAAGGTCGTCGTTGTTCTGCCTTCTTGAACTCAGCAGAAGTCCAGTGTGCTCAGCCAGTGGTTTGGGCAGTTTATAATGCTCCATGGATGTTTTGTTTGTTTTAATATGGTTTTCATTGGCATTTGATTTTTACTTTCACAAACATTTCATAGTGACAAAGGTACCCAATCCTGCACTCAAAGCTATGGGCATAGAGCCCTATTTATTGAGTTAGTCAAAAAAACCCATGAAGACGTACTAGGAAAAATCACTTTTTTTATATTTTTGGTGAAAAACTTATATTTTTTCACGCATATTGGCAGGTGAAGGAACCCAAAATCTTTTTCCCCTCCTGTTTTTAATAATCCCCCTCCCTTTTTCTTGCATTTTGAAACAGGCAAGGGGAGAAAAGAGAGAGAAAGGTGATCAATAACTAAACAACTGAAAAATCACTGAGAACCAAAAAATATTTTTAAAAAGTCAACATTTTAAGAAAATCTGCACTGCCAATCATTTTTGAAGAAAAGCACTTCAAAAAAAAAGTTTCAAAAAAGAATTTTTAACCACTTATACTACAGTCAGGGTGCTTTTATAGAGATATAGGAGTCTGAGCTATATATCTATCCAGGTCTTATTTTCAGGATTGTGATCTAGGTTTTTAAATTCCCTTTCTGTTTTTTAATAATTAACCCTCGTATAAATCAGAGGCCAAGTTGAATGTTTCCTCCTTATAAAACCACATGTGCTTTCCTGTCCAGTTAGTTTTAAGGTTTGACTTTTATCAAGCTGAATTGATTCCTTTAAAGATACCCCACTCGGTATGTTGATATAATCAATATTTCTCATTTCGTAGCTGGTGAGGTCAACTTGCTTTCTTTCTCTGGCCTTGGATGTGTGTGTGTGTGTGTTTATATATTTCTCAAAATAGTCCTTAGGGCATTTGACGTTTTATATATAATTTATTGTTTTGTTTTTTAAACTGATCCGAATGTGCATGTGTTTAAATGCATCAGAAGGTGCATTAAGCAAACTCCTCTCTAACTTATAATGGTGTTTTGTCTGTGCCAATACAGCGTATATGCTGGGGTTTGTTAGATGAGTAGTCAGAAAGTCACACAGCCGCCCCAGGGAGCTGGGGCAACCTCCTTTGTTTCTGAGGTTGTGCCGTAACAGCATAACCCAACAGCTTATGGAGCTGATGGGGCTTTGCAGAAGGGGTCAGGCACTGTTGAGGCTGTGTTCCTCTTGCCAGAGGGCAGGTTAGCATGGATCAAAGGAGGTGGGATTTTCTGCACAGGAGATTCTCTGCATGAGGGTACATCCCAGGATTGCTCCCTGCCCAGCAGTGTGAAGTGATTTATCCTGTTTAAAATGGGTCCAGTTCCCAGACTGAACTCTGAAAGCTTCCATTCTAGCAAGATCCTTTCCTTATTGCAGCAGAGGCAGCCGTTTTGTGAGGGGGTCGCTCGCACTCAACCACTAAACATGGTACTTAACTGTAGCTTCTAAAGCAGCAGCTCAGAGAGCATTTGGCCATTACTTTAAACACTTGAGCTGTACAACCCCATGTGCCACATAAGCCCTAGGAGAATCCAGGAGAGAATGGAGGCTGCAAGTACAACTCTGACTCTCTGGTTTCCCATTCAGAGAGGAAGTGAGATGTAGAATCGTCTTTGAAAATTGTCCTGAGTTCATGAGCCAAAAATGAAACCAGCATACAGTAAACTGGCGTTGGTAGGTTTGCAAGAGAGTCAGCTAGTCATGCTGGTCTACACATAGACGTTGCACTGATTTGATTGAACACCAGTTCAACTAATCCCTCATATGGACACTTTATAGTGATTTAAATCAAGATACAACAAACATGAGCT